CTTGAGATCAATTACGCTGCTTTGTAATGCAACATTTTCTGCCTCGAGTTTTTCGAGCCGTCCCATCGTTTCTCGCTCAGTTTTTTCTTTCAGGCTGTTCGCATTTTTCATATCCTCAATCTCACCATGAGCATATTCAACCGAGTGCTTGACTTCTTTAAGTTCGCTTTCCATCCCCTTGATTCTTTCCTCGATCATGTCTAATTTGTCAAGTTTCTTAAGCCTCTCGTTCATTGATGAAATTAATTCATATATATCCTTCATTTGTACACTTTGCGCTGTTTTTTCCTCTTCCAATTTCTTCGGCGTATCACTAACTCTCGGAATTTTTGATCGATTTTCCTTTATGGGCGTATTTGGGTTTGAATTTGAATGAATTTGCATAGAGCGCTTCGAAGCGTGTTTAGCCGCCATGACACCTGACACCTGATCATTCCCTACGCCAGCTTTTCCTAAGCGCGTCAGTACCCTGGTTCAGCGCGAGGTCGGGAATCTTCGAGTTAAGCCCCTCGAGTTAAGCCCCTCGAGTTAAGCCCTTTTCGAGTTAAGCCCCGACCACGCCCTTTTTTCAAAAGGGCTTAACTCGAAGAACAAAACACGATTTGGGTCATTCGAGTTAAGCCCCGGGGCTTAACTCGAAGTTTGACAAAAAAGTTGTTGCTCGAGTTAAGCCCCGACTTTTGAAGTATGTCAACGAGTGCAATGTTAAATTGTCAAATTTTCAATACAAAAAAGCCAAAGGCAAAGCACAGAAATTTTCCCAAAAAGAACTTGTATATCGCTAATGTAATACGATTATCTAAAACAATCACAACTATTATCGTTAACAATATTTTAGGTTTTTCATATTTAAATTAATATTAAATTTAACAACACTGAACAGGTAATTACTTTTAGTGGATCGTTTATCCACAACAAAACAACAAAACAATATTTTAATTATAAAGTAGATAGAATCCTAACTCGTTTCTTTTGTTTGCATATCGACAAATTAACAGTTTTACTGTAACAAAAAAGGTACAACCTTTCCCATCACCTTGAACAAAACTAATCTATTAAGAAAATGATCGAAAATGACAGCACGTAATAACTAAAGAAAAAGAGAGGAAAGGGAAGGAATTTCGGTATAGAATGATCTGTCTTTGACAACTTGCGCCCAGAGACTCACGCCTCATACGCACATGTACAGTAATTTCAT